ACTGGTGGTTGGGTGATGTGGGTCTTGTATTCAAGTGGTTTCCCTTGTGTGAGTTCTCACTATTTGATACTCCCTAGGGTTAGTTCTCTGGTAGTCTAGGGTCTTGGAGTCAGTGCTTCCATTCCAAAGGCTCAGGACTTGATCTCTAAAACTCAATGAAGAAACAGCATGAACTTTCCAAAACCAACTATCTTCTTTTCTTTGAAATGGCAGTCAGTTCAGGCATTTAAAGACTTTCCAAGTATTTCATCCAGGGACTTGTAAATCTCACTTATCTTCTCAAAGGCAAACCTCAAGCTCACCAGAGAGGAAAGTTTTACTTCCAAGTCCCAGTCTTGGTACTGCTGAGCCCAGCCCCACATCCCTCGTCTCTCCTTGGTGCTGGACTTTAGACAGATACCTCGCCACCTCCCATTCCGGTACCAGAAACTTTACCTCACTCTTATAACACTGGATGGATTGTTGAGTTTTGCTGGGAGTTCCTTAAGCCTGTGTGTCAGAAATGGTGCTCTGCTTAACTGTCCCTCCATCCCCTCATGGAGGTCACTTGACAGGTGTCCCATGGTGCCTGTCCTGTGCATCCTCATAGCACACTGCCCACTCCCCCCACGGGCAGGAGAAGTTATCCCAGGAAACTCGCCTCAGGATGTCACGTGGTCCTTGATGGCACATCCTCAACCTGCTCTGGCCAGGCCCCTGCCATGTTGGTGTGTGGCAATTCTGGGATATATGGAGATTCTTGTCAATGAGGAAGGAGGAAGGGAGGGGGGAAGGAGTTCCAAGAGGGAGGATGTGCAGGGGGAAGGAGGAGAATGAGATGGAGGAGGAGGAAGCACTGAACTGGGTCTCAGTGATCTGACAGGTGGTGGCTGGGTTAGGCTGAGGATGTCCAGATGTTCCAGGTCCAGGGGTCCAGGCCCAGAGAATTAAAGTCCAGATCATCCAGGTCCATGGATCCAGGTCCAGTTGGGTTTTGATGGTGGTCCAGAGGGTCTAGATGGCCAGGTCCAGTTGGGCTGCACCTGGGAGGAGAGGCAGTATCAGTAGGGGCACACCACAGTGTGAGATCTGCCTGGCTCGTGCCCGTGGGTGGAGGGTGGCACTCAGGAGACCCAAGTAGATACCCTGCAGAGACTGCCAGCCAGACCCAGGAATGGGCACATGGCTGGATGTGGAGGACATTAAGTGGACTGGAGCCTGTGTTGGGGTCCCTGTCAAGGAGCTGCAGGAAAAGATGCCCGTGCAACAGGGTGGCCGGAGGGGAATGGAGCACAGGTGGACTTCTCAGCTGCCTCCACACAGCCCGAGAGCCTGTGTCCCCCAGAGCCACTAACTCTAGGCCTGCACGGCCTGGACCCAGGGCTGCATGTGGGTTTGGTCCCCCACCCTGTTACTGAGCAAGTGGTCACAGGGACCCTGTGTTGTTGGGCTGTTGTGGGGCTCAGCGAGTTGGACCACACTTAGGACAGGGCACTCAATGGACATTGGTTAGTACTGAAGCTGAGGGAAGCCCGGCAAGGGGCAACCAGGCCAGTGTTCATTTCCAGAAGGGGAAACTGAGGCTCAGAGAGGAGAGTGAGTGCATCTGAGCTGGGAATAGAGTCATGGAGAACATGCAGGGCTTTTCGACCACCTCTGCTCTCCCTTTGTCTGTCTCTTAACTCTGCAGAGTGTGGGCAGGGCCTCTCAGCACCTGGAACTTGTCAGAGATTAGCATCTTGGTGCTGCAGGCCTACTGGCTCAGAATCTTCATTGCACAAGATCTCCGTGCCTGTGTGCACATCATTGTGAGCAAGCATTGCTTTCCCTACTTGTTTGCAGCTCTGGCAGCACATTGGAATCATGCAGGGGTGGGTTTTTTTTTTTTAAACAAATGCAAGTGTTTGGTCCCAATCTCAGAGTCACCCTTGCCATGGGCCAGGGCTGTGGCCTCAGGGAGTGTGGGTGTGCAGCCAAGTCAGACACCTTTGTTCTACTTCACGTGGTCATCCTGAGAGACTCAGTGCTGAGAGGGGCTGGGAGGGAGGCCCCTAGCCCCAGAGATCTCCAGGTGGGCTCTGGTATGGTGGTCTGCACCAGCCTTAGAGGGGAATGGCTTTGTTCTGCCTTCGGAAGAATTGTATTACAATAGATTGTTTCCATCAAGGACTTCAGAATTGAGAGCTGTGTTAAAATACAACTGGATCGACAGCCTGGGAGCACATAAGCCAGACCTGCTGCAGCCTGGGAAGGGGGCTAGGTGGCTGGGGGTCCAGGCAGAGTGGTGTGTGGGTGGGGCAGTTGTGGCCAGATGGAGACAAGTTGAAAGAGATGCATGACTATTAACTAGTGAAAACACCCAGAATCAGTACCACTCTCTTTTATAAAGGAGGAGACACAGGCCCAGCAAGGTGAAGGGTCTGTCCAGAGTCACGCAGCAAACCAGTGACTCCAAGGGGTTGGGGCTGGGCATCTAGTGGCTGTGGCTAACTTCAGAAGGGCACTCTCTTCCTTCCTGCAGAGATGGCAAGGCTCCTCTTTGAGGGGTGTCAGTTTCTGGCTTGGCTGCTGCTTGCCTGGGACTGCATGATGTGAAGGTTCTGAGGCTCAGGGTGGGTTCAGTGGGGGACTGTGGAGTTTGGAGACCCACCTCTGCCGTCTGTTAGGCTTTATATGAACTGGGAAGGCCTGCACACCTGCGCTAGTCTGCCTTTGGGTCCAGCCTCCAACGTCACTTCTTCCCCTTTCACCCAACTACTGTTAATGAATTGAGTCTTTAGTTATTATGGAAAGACTCATCTCTGGTGATACTCTTGGCTCTGAAATATACTTTGTACAGTATTAATGTAGCCATTACACCTTTCTTTTGATTAGTGGTAGCATGGCATATTGTTTCCCACCTGTTGCTCTGAATCTGTTTGAGTCATTTTAAGGTCGGGTACATATAAATAGTCTGTGATTGGATTTTGCCTTTTGATTTCATCTAACAATCCTTGTTTCATTTTTTGAATTTTGGCTATGCCATGTGGCATGTAGGATCTTAGCTCCCTGACTAAAGGTCGAACCTGCGCCCCCTGCAGGGGAAGCTTGGAGTCTTAACCCCTGGACCACCAAGAAAAGTCCTAACAATTTTTATTTCTTTATTGAGGTGCTAAGATCATTTACTTTCAATGTGATAATTTATTGATATGGTTAGTTTTTTTTTTTTTTGGAAAAGGTCTTAGTTTATTCTTTCATGAAAAATCTGCACAAGCACCACAGATACAGTCACTGCAGAATCTTTACTCCTTCTTTTTGCCAGCGCCAACATTGGCCTTTGCAGTCCCCCTGACTTTCTTCATTCTGTTCTTGCGTTCTTTTCGCTGTTTTCTTGAGGTCTTTTTCTTCTCATACAGGCCGTGTCTTGCAAGCCTATGTTTGGGCTCATTCTTCTTCGCGTAATCCAAGGAATCGTAAATCATGCCGAAGCCAGTTGGCTTGCCACCACCAAAATGGGTTCTGAATCCAAATACAAAGATGACATCTGGTGTGGTCTTGTACTTTTGGCCAGTTTTTCCCGAATTTCTGTTTTAAGTACTGTTGCCTTTCCAGGGTGAAGAACATCAATGACCATTTGTTTCCGCTGAAGCAGCCGGTTGGTCATGAACTTCCTAGTCCGGATAGTTACTGTGTCGTTCATGATGGCGGCTGTCTTCAAGCAGCCAGGGAGGAAAAGAGCGATATGGTTAGTTTTAAATCTACCATGGTACCATCAGTTCTTGCCCTCACTTCTCTCTTTTTCTGTCTTCTTTTAGACTTTGTACTTTTTTCCACTTTTTATTTCTCCTTCTTCCTCCCCTTCACTAATTGGCAGTAATTATTATTATTTTTTGGTTACTGTAGTGGTTGATTTGGGATTTGTAGTATGTATCTTTAACTTACCACAGTCTAAGTGATATTATATCAATTCATATATAGAACAAGAACCTTCCAAACCTTTCATTCCTTTTTTGCCCCCCCTTGGCTGTGCCACATGATTTGTGGGATCTTAGTTCCCCAACCAGGGTTTGAACCCAGGTTCTGACAGGGAAAGCACTGAGTCCTAACCACTGGACCACCAGGGAATTCCCCTTTTGCCAATTTTTAAATGAGTCATTGCTTTTGTTTAATAGTCATAGGAGTTCTTTATATACTTTAGATATAAACCCTGTATGAGAGATATGATTTTCATATATTTGCTTTCATTCTGTGGGATGTCTTCACTCTTTTGATGGTATCTTTTGATGCACAAAAGTCTAAAAATTTGATATAGTTCAATTTCTGTATTTTTCTTTTGTTTGTATTTTTAGTGTCATATGAGAAGATTTCATCTTATACAAGGACACAGTGACTTTCTCCTATGTATTTATTTTATTTAAATATTTTATTTATTCATTTTTGGCTATGTTGGGTCTTTGTTGCTTCATGCAAGCTTCCTCTAGCTGCAGAGACCAATGAGAGCTACTCTCTAGCTGTGACATAGGGGCTTCTCATTGCCATTTTTCAAGTGGCTTCTCTTGTTGCAGACCATGGGCTCTAGGTGCTTGGGCTTCAGTAGTTGTGGTGTACGGACTTATTTGCCCCCATGGCATGTGGACCTTCCCAGACCAGAGATTGAACCCGTGTCCCCTGCATTGGCAGGTAGATTCTTAACCCCTGGACCACCAGGGAAGTCCTCTCCTATATTTTATCCCACTGGAACCCATCTTCCCTCAGCCTCTCCACTCCCAAGACCCTCATCTTTCTGCATGCTGCCTTCCCCTTGCCTGTTTCTTTCCATGCCTCACTAGAGGACTTCTTTCTGTGACCCCTCTGGGTCCTGTCTCGGTGACACCTCAACGTGGGTTCCTCTTTCTGCACTGGCTTCAACCTTCTTGAGTTACATGGAGGCCGAGGTGATGGAAGAAGACCCCCAGCTGACCTTGAGGGGCATCAGTACGTGCCTTCAGGTTCATGACGGCACCTAGCCTTCCTAGTGATGCTCACAACTCTCTCCTCTCTAGGGGAGTCTCCTCCGGTGGGTGGCTGCAATGAGAAGCGTATGTTGGCCATGCTGCCCCACTGCAGCAAGACCTTTGCCGAAAAGATGAAGAAGGTAGAGGTCTGGAAGTGGTGCAACCTCTCGGAGTTCATCGTGTGAGTGTCCCTGCCCACGCCCTGCCCACTGTGCCTGTGCTCCCCAAGTTCCGAGGTTCATTCCAAGCCTCCCAGCCCCTCACTCCCCTCACTGACCACACTAACTGCTCCAAACTGGACACTCCAGGTTGTTCATCCTCCACTCTTCTGAGGGTGGTCATTTCTCTGGGAACCACTGACACCCACTCCCCTTTCTGCTTGTGGTTGGTGCCCTGCCCTCGGGTGCCTGCCTCTCTTCACGGTCCGTGCTGGGGGGACTTGTCATTTTGGGTTTTCCTCACAGCACCAGCCAGGGCTGGGTTGGCAGTCAGGACCATCGGACCCCAGAGAAACTGAGTCCCACTGGTTTCTACCTGGTGTGGTGCGGGCAGTGCCCCACCACACAGGGCCCCACTTTCTGGAAGCTTCTGAGATATTTTTCATCTCCCTTGATCACATCCAGCATCAAGTGTCTCGGTACACCTTTCACCTCCTCGGAAATCACTGGTGGCCTGTGCCTGCCTTCCCCCACTTCCCACTTAGAAGTCTCTGCCTGGCACGCTGCTGGTGGCTGCTGCATTCGTGTCCTGCGGGCCATGCCTGCTGGGACCCCTGGGTTTCTGTCCGTTGCATCAGCCGTTTCCACTCCAAGGCCCTGGCTCCTATGCTGTCTGTTCCCAGAGGCTGTTCTGTGGGCTTCCATGGCCATCTCCCTAGGGGACAGTGGCTCCTTGTGGGCACATCCACAGCCCCCTCATGGACTCCACACAGAGCTGTTCACTGAACCAAATGGAACAAAATTCCTGTGTCTGCTGGCAAAGGGGACATGGGGTTCAGGAAGGCCTTGGCCAGGCTTCTTACTTTCCTTGGAACCTGGTCTGAACACCAAGCCCGGAGTGGACACACGGGGGTGGAGGTTTAGGGAAGAGGTGTGGGTTTCCTGTCCTGGGCCTCTGTCACCTACTAAAGCCTCAGTGAGATCAAACAGACATCCAGCCCCAGGGCCAGAGGACAGTAGAGGGGTCAGCCAGGAGGGGGTCTTGGAGTTGAAGAGAGAGGGGCCGATGTCTACTGGACTAGGGAAAAGTTTGCTGGCGGAAGAGGGAATCTGCCAGGGGCAGTTTGCCTGGTTTCTGGGCTCCACATCCCAACTTTCCCCTCTGGACCATGGCTGTGTTTTTGCTCATTGTGAGAGCACCCCAGGGGCTGGAGGGAAGGTGCTTTGGGAGACAGACTGAAGGGAGGGCTTGGAAAGGCCCCGGGGTGACCAGAGTCGCTTGGGAAGAACAGAGCTTGTCGTGACCCTGGTTCCGTGATGCCACACAAATGGCAGCTTCCTTGGGAAGGACACCTTGATTTTATCTCCAGTTTGAATGCAGGCTGATGAGTTAACAGCACCTGGGACCTGTGTGTGGAAAGGTGTGCATCCCTGCCTCATCTGCCTCCCCAGCCCTGGGAAGGGCGGGGTGCTGGGCTGTGGGTGTTGACTTCTGCAACTGTTGCCTTGTGCCTGAGTGCCTCGCCTTTGCTGTCTTTTATCGTAACAACATTTTCTGTCACAATACAGTCAGTTCCCAGTGATCTTGAGAAGCAGCAAGCGTGGGCAGTCTGCACACGGCCCTGTAGGTCTCAGCTCTGCCCAAGCCCTAGCCTTTGGGACTCACCCGTGACCTCACTGAGAACCTACTATGTGCCAGACACTTACCAGAAGTGTATTCACGGCACCTAATTTGGTCTTTTCACCAAGGTGGGGGCTTTCACCTAATAAGGTCCATTACCTTATTGGCTTAGAATTATGAACCCCATTTACAGGTGGAGAAACTGAGGCTCAGGGAGGCTAGGCAATGTGGGCAAAGTCAGGAAGATGGTCGGCCAAGCTGAGGTTGGAAGATATCGGTTCCATGTCCTGAGCCCTAAGCTGCTATCTTGTGCTGTTTTCTGTGCATGGGGGTCACACGGGCCTCAAATCACCCTCCACCTCCTGCTAGCTTGTTGTCCACAGCGCAGCTCCCTCAGCTCCTTGTACCTTGTCTCAGCTGCAGTGAGCTCTGGGGCAGGTGGGGGCTCTGCAGGGTGTCGGGTGGCAGGCCACCTATGGGGCCCAGTGGGAGGGGTGGGTCTTGGGGGTGACGGTTTGCCTGAGGACCTGGTTAGTGAGGTGACCCAGAGCCTGGACCCATCCCAAGGACCACATCACAGCCCTGCACGTGGATTCCAGGCTGTAGCCTTTGTTTCCTGCTCTCTTTTGCCTTGTGTGGCTCTTCCTTGCCTATGTTGTAAGAGGGGTGCGGGCAGTTGTGTGCCTGACCAGCCAGCCAAATGTTTGGGCTGGGAAACCGGTTGCTCCGGGGCCACCAGGAGGAGTGGTGAAGGGTCTGGCTGAATGGATCCGCTGCCCTGTTTCCCACTGCCTTTCCAGGCAGAGATGAGGTTGTGGACAGGAAGCTCCTTGCAGGAAGCAGTTCCTTCCTGTCGCTCAGACCACCCTTCCTGGGTCAGTACTGGAAGGAGGACGGTGGCTACAAAGCCTAGTTCCCATGGGGAGCTGAGGCAGGAACCCCTTCCTGCCCCATACCTGTCCTGTGTGAAGCACTTTGCCAGGTGGGCAGTGGTCAGAGCTGGCACACTGAGGCAGATATTCAACCAGCCCTCTGACCAGAGCATCTTGAACAATGGCTGCCAGTCTATAGGTCAGCAGCCCCAGAGGCCAGTAAACCTCGGTCAGAGGCTTTTGGGTTGAATTCTGGGGACGGCTAGCGGTAACCCTTGGTTGGCCGCACGGACCATCAGGAGCCTACCTGTTTGATGGACGTGGCTCCTCATTCGTGGCTTGCTAAGTGCCTTTCCAGGTTTGGTCAACACAGACAGGAAGACCCTGGGCAGAGGGGGTCCCTTGTGTCCAGTCAGGTGGGGGCTGAGGAAGGTGACTTCGGAGAGGAGGACAGGTTGGGGCTGAGCTCACAGTTGGGATCCCCCCCACCTCCCCGCACCCAGTCAGGTAAATGAAGCCAGGTTAACTTGACTGGGAGACAGCCGGCCCTTGGTCTCAGAGAGATCTCCTCCCCTGGGAGGCCCATATAGTGGTCCTAGGTGAGAAGGGCCCTGCAGGCCAAGGGGCTGTGGCCTTTGGTCTTGGAGAAAGAGCCCAGGCTCAGAGTGTCCTCTGGAAAGACCTGGGGGTACTGGCACCCTGGGGGCTGAGTCCAGACCTGGGGTGTTAGAAGTTCCTTTCCTCATAGGGAGGAGGTGACAGTGTGGATGACCACGATGAGGGCAGGGATGATGTACGAGATGCAGATGGGGGCATGGGGTATATTTTGGGGAGCTCATGGCCTCAGAGTTTCTTGCAGGGTATGGGGCCACCACGTGAGAGAACCTCAGGGCAAGGACGCCAGGGGGATGGATATTGCCAGACCAGCAGGCCCAAGAGAGGTTGTAGCAGGAGGTTACTCTTCCAATGTGGCCTGGGGCTATGCTGAGAACCGGTGGCCACACAGCACTGCCCCCCCACTTTCCTGTAAGTCAAGGCCAAAGTGAGAAGGGGTGCGGGAGCTGAATGGTCAAACCCTCTGCCTTCACAGGTACTACGAGAGCTTCACCAACTGCACGGAGGTGGAGACCAACGTGGTGGGTTGCTACTGGCCCAACCCCTTGACTGAGAGCTTCATCGCCGGCGTCCATAGGCAGTTCTTCCAAAACTGCTCGGTGGACAGGCAAGACTGGGAGGACCCCCCAGACGAAATTCTCATCCCGCTGATCACCGTGCCGGTCCTGCTGACCATCGCCATGACTGGTGTGGTGGTGTGGCGCAGCAAACACACCGACCAGGTGTTGTGAGGGCCTGGTGAGCCCGAGGGGCCATGCCCGGAGACATGGAAGAAAGCTCTGCAGGGCTGATTGAGCTGGTGCTTTAGCTGCCCCCGAACACTGCCCTGGCGGTCTTGAGCTGGTGACAGAGAAAACGTGCTGCGGCTGAAGCTTGTGTGCTGGGCACAGATCACCACTGCTTCGCCTGTGCTGTCCCAGACTGGGCTGGGGCCTATAGTGTGCCCAGTACCAAGTCCCTTAGGGCCCTGCCCTGGCCTGACCTTGACCCCGCCTCACAACTGACTCTACCCCGACGCCATTTCCCACTCTGACCCCACCCCTGGCCCTGGCCCTGGCCCCACCTCCTACTCTGACTTCACCTTCCTCTCTGACTCCACCCCCGGCCCTGACCCCACCTACCACTCGACACCACCCCCAGCCCTGACCCCACCTGCAGTCCTGACCCCACCTCCTATTCTGGCTCCACCTCCCACTCTGACCCCACCCCCGGCCCTGACCCACCTCCTACTCTGACTCCACCCCTAGTCCTGGTCCCACCCCTGGTCCTGGCCCCACCTCCTACTCTGACCTCATGCTCAGCCCTGGACCCACCTCCTATTCTGACTTCACCTCCCTCTCTGACTCCATACCCGGCCCTGACCCCACCTACCACTCTGACTCCACCCCCAGCCCTGACCCCACCTCCTATTCTGGCTCCACTTCCCACTCTGACTCCACCCCGGCCCTGACCCCACCTCCTTTTCTGGCTGCACCTCCCACTCTGACGCCACCGCCGGGCCCTGGCCCTACCACAGTGGCACCGCTCTGAAAAGGTGTTCCTATTCCCATCTGGCTGGGGTTGGGGTGGTAAAGAGTGTGGGAGGGGGCTTTTGTGGGTCCTCGCTTTGCAGGCCTTGGGTCCTCTTGATGGGGAGCCCACCTAGAGAGAATCTGGAAGACAGAATTGAACTGGGGGTTCCAAGGTGCCACAGGACAGCTTGCGACCTGCTGTCAGTGGCCGCAGCTGGTGTGGGCCTCCTCGGTAACGGGCCCCTCTGTGAGCAATGGGCCTCTGAGCAGGGGCCTTGTGCGCTCTCCTGGCTGAGCTCTGTCTGCTGTGCTGTGCTTTCTGTGAGTAAAGAGACCTGCTACTTCTGGGGTTTCCAGTTTTATTTCAGGGAATTCCCAGAGACCCTGCCCGGCCTCGTAGAAATGGCAAGTCCCCCAGGCCCATTTTACAGACAGGGAGTGATTGAGGCTCCAGGAGGTCAGAGGTCAGAGCAGCAAAGAGAGCCTCCCACCAGGGGAGTGTGGGCAGGTGGGAGGGATCTGCTAGCCAGCTCTCAGAGGTTTTGTGTTTCCCACTGGCTCCCTGCGCTTTGAGGATGGAGGGGAGACTTCACCTGGGAGCAAATGGTGGAGGCGCTTTGTCTGCAAGCCTCTCGCTGGTCCCTGGTGGCGGTCCAGTTCTGCAGCCGATGATTTCGAGTGTGGGCGGTTGACTTCAGCACCCTCTTGCTGGGGCCCAGAAGTGCGGCCGTGGCTGTGAGTGGATGTGGAGAGAACCTAGCAGGGCAGTCCCTATGTCCTTCAGAGGCCCTGCTCCTCTTCCTGCCCAGAGGTGCAGGGGGTCCCCTGAGCTTGCTGGTTCCCTGCAGGTGCTCACAGGTGTAGATGCCCACAGGTGCAGGGACAGGATGGGAATCTCCTGGCACTTCTGGTTCCTGGGGCAGCTTCTGCCGAGGAACAGAGGCTGTGATCTCAACGTGAATCCACAGTGCCTCTGGAGCATCTCCCACCACGCAGGTCTCTGCCGGTCATCTGTGGAGCTGGACATCTGCTGATGAGATAACCTGTGGAGGCACGGAGGGGCGGTGCTTTTGGGTTTCAGACCATCTCAAGCCTTTACAATGTTGGTTCTCTTCTCAGATGGTGTCCTGGGGGGCCCTGCAGCTGCGGAGGGGGTGCAGCCCAGCCCCTGGCTGGCTCTGGCCACATCCTGTGTGGGGAGCCCCTGGAGGTTGTGTGTGTCTTCCGTGCCCCAGGGATTCTCACTTCCCGGGTCCCCTGAGAGCCCGGGCCCCCAGAGCTGCACCAAGAGGCTACTCTTGTGTGCACATGGCTGTCGAATGGTGCTTCTCGGCTGAAGACCCCTCTCTTACCAAGACTGGAGACCCTCGTAACTGTGGGCCTGGCACTGAGCCGCTGACCACCCTTTTAGCTCTCCAGCACACTTTCTTCACTATGCTAACTTTAGTTTTTTTAGTGACCTCTGACCCCACTGAGACCTCAGACCTTCAGTCTAGTCCTGTCCAGCCCTGGCTTGCTGCCTCCCTTCCCCCGAGCCTGGTCTTCTGGTCACAGCTTTGCATGCTCTGTCAGTCCTTTGGCCCCACCTTTTCACTTATTCATGAGTTTTTCTAGGACATGGAGGGTCCTGGGTGCCAGACCACACAAGGAATGTGTGTGTACATTTGTGTGTATATGTGTGTGCATTTCTGTCCCTCTTCCTTCAGCTCCATACAAAGGGATGCCATGTCTCTCTACTTTCTAGAAAAGGAATCCCGATATAGTGTTTTCCTGGGAGGGCCAGTATTTCTCATCCCCTCCACTCCGAGCTCCGTGTTACAGAGACTAAATTCCAAGCATGAATGGCTGAGATGTCAGGCCTCCCTCTCCCTGGCCAGACCTCACTGATGGCTAAGAGGGGGCTTCACCCCAGGCTCAGCGTGCTCACACTTCCATTCACCTGTACAGTGGAGGCTTTTGCCAGGAGAGGTGAATGGAGAAGACCAGAAGCTGCTGCCCCCACCCAATATGCTGTTCATAAGTGAGGGTGTTACGCTACTGTCCACAACTCCAGCTCCAGGAGAGTGGGTCAGAGATCTTTCCAAGGGCAGAGGCAACTGTAAGGACAGGCAGCTCTGAAGCTCTCTCCATAGGAACTTACTTGATTTAGAAGATAGTGTAGGGAAGTCCAAGCCTAAGGGAGCCCTCGAGAACTGTGGGAATTTTGGTGGTGAGCAGTGAAAAGCGACTGGCAGCTCTGCATTGGAGGTGAGCATGAAAGGGGGCTGGCAGCTCCATGAGAGCGGAAGTTAAACCTCAGGCAGTTGTATTTCCCACCAGAGATAAGTGGGGACAGAGACACTTACAAGAGCCCTCATGGGGTCAGAGCAAATCTCATAATGTGCACACGCTGTGTGTGCTCAATTGCCTCAGTTGTGTCCAACTTTTTGTGACCCCATTGACTATAGCCTGCCAGGCCCCTCTATCCATGGGATTCTCCAGGCAAGAATACTGGAGTGGGTTGCCGTGCCCTCCTCCAGGAAATCTTCCTGTCCCAGGGATTGAACATCATAGACTGGCCTTAAAATCACCCCACCAAGGAGCTCAGATTTAATTGGGCTAGAATGTGGAGCATTGATGTCCCAGGTCATTGTCAACACAACGGAGCAGTCAGTTAGACACCAGTGGAGTCTGACAGCTGTCAGACTGACATACCCACAGAGACAACAGATTCACACAGAGATCAGACACAAAGACATCAAAGGCAGCCCCTGCAGAGCCTCTGTGGTCTTGGGTATGTGTGGTAAGCTCAGGGCTGTGCTCTCTGAGAACGACACTTGCACTCATGCTGACAGTCCAGCCAGTCCACCCATGACCAGCATGCAAGCGTCAGTGTCTGTCCCGAATTTGTCCCTCGTCCTCCAGACCCATCGAAACATTTACAGACGTGCCTCCATCTTACGCATGCACATCAGCCCAGGTAACATCCCCGGGAGGGGTTGGTGCAAAACTTGACTGGGGTGTTCTCTGTGCAGACTTCTGCACAGTGAAGGGGTGCTGGTGCTGCAGGGGGTCGCCTGGGTTCAATCCCAGCCTAGTCACGTGTGATGTGACCTCCGACAAGTATGTGGCCTCTGCACAGGTAGGCTCCTGGTCTACACAGGGCCTTGGGAGGATGGGATGAGATCATCCACACAGCTTCCTGAGCCTGGCACACAGTGGGTATGGTCAGTGTTATTATGGAAAGTCTGGGCTGTGTTCTGGATGGGGGAGCCCCCGGCATGTCCCTTCATGGAGGGTGACACTGTGGGAGTGGACGATGGTCTCAGAGGATGTGTTGAGTGGGGAGCAAAGAGGACTTAGGGCAAAGCCACCCCAAGGGATCTAACATAGGGAAGGAGGACCCCAAGCAACAGTGAGGGAGCAAGAGAACCAGTTTCCAGAAGGCATCAAACGCCGCTGAGGGATCCGGATCACAGAAACCAAGAAGAATCCCTGGGGTGTGGTCAGGTGTGAATCCTTGGACGCCTCCCAGAACCATCTTCTGTCTTGGAAAGCAACAGGATCAAGAGTATGTCACCCATGGTGGGAAGATTAAGTGGATTTGGTTGGGTCCTTATGGAGGGAGGGGCACTCCTGACCTCTTGATGTCCCCCAAGCCCCAGACAGCAGGCTGTGACTACACAGGAAATGCTTTTGGGAGACTGATGCTGCTGGGGCTGTTGAAGATTCTGGAAAGCAGAGCCGGTGGATGACTGGTGGGCCAGTGGGTTGGGAGATTGGGTGGTCATGAAGGGTGTGGGAAGTGTGTTGAGGAGCAGGCGGGCAGCCACCAGCTCACGACACTACGAAAATCCAATCAGAGATCTCAGAAAGATAAACAGAGAGGCGGTCTCTTGGCAGGAGCCTTGTGGGGACAGATGTGAAGGATGGAGCAAGGAGTGTTGTCAATGCAGAGGCTCCCCCCACACCCCCATCCCCTTAGTGGCTGGTCTAGCTTCTGGCAAAACAGACCCATCCTTTCCCCATGAGCAGAATTCTGAGTGGAGGGAAGTTGGGAGTCCTCTTGGGGAGCAGGAGTTCCCGACAGGGAGGCAGAGATGAGCAGGAGCAGGGCGGGGGTGGGAGGGGGTTGAGATGTATGAGAAACGGCGAGGAGGCCTAAGTTAGCCTGATAGAGGGATGGAGGACTCGAGGGGAGAGCAGGCGAGGGTGGAGGTGGACAGACCCTGTGGAGCTGGGTGGGACAAGGCGAGGGTTTGGTTTCCACTCTGAGTCATTGTAGCACATGTAGGTGGAGCCAAGGTGCCAAGTGGCGCTGAGATGATAAAGGCATGCTCCAGTTACCCACAGTTAAATCACTCCTTCATATTTACTGCTATTTGATGAGAAGCAGAAGGACTTTCTGAATGATGCACCTGTCTATAAGGCTTTTAAATGTAATTTTTAACCACAAGGCTTATACTGTTTATATAAATTGTACATGTGGTTCATTAGAGCTTTTTAAATGGTTAAAAATAAGAGCTTACTAATGGAGGAAGAAAAAGTGGATGCATTTGGGACTCCCCTGGTGGGCCAGTGGTTAAGAACCCACCTTCCAGTGCAGGGGACATTGGTATGATCCCTGGTCTGGGAAGATTCTACATGTCTCAGGGCAACTAAACCTGTGCATCACAATGACTGAGCTCAGGCTATATAGCCTGCAAGCTGCAACTACTGAGCCTACGTGCTGCAACTGCTGAGGCCCTAGCACCTGAACCTGTGCTCTGAAACAAGAGAAGCCACTGTAACAGGAAGCTTGCGCACTGTAAGGAAGAGTAGGTCCTGCTTGCCACAACTGGAGAAAGCCCATGTGTAGCAATGAAGATCCAGTGCAGCCAAAAATAAATAAAGAAGCAAAATAAAAAAAGTGGATGCACTTAACTTGCAAAATTGTTGTTCCGTCGCTCAGTCGTGTCTGAGTCTTGGCGACTCCATGGACTGCAGCATGTCCAGGCTTCCCTGTCCATCACAGACTCCTGGAGCTTACTCAAACTCATGTCCATAGAGTCGGTGATGCCATCCAACCATCTCATCCTCTGTCATCCCCTTCTCCTCCTGCCTTCAATCTTTCCCAGCATCAGGGTCTCTTCCAATGAGTCAGCTCTTCCCATCAGGTGGCCAAAGTATTGGATTTTCATCATCAGTATCAGTCTTTCCAATGAATATTCAGGACTGATTTCCTTTAGGATGGACTGGTTAGATCTCCTTGTAGTCCAAGGGATTCTCAAGAGTTTTCTCCAACGCCACGGTTCAAAAGCATCAATTCTTCGGCACTCAGCTTCTTTATAGTCCAACTCTCACATCCATATATGACTACTGGAAAAACCGTAGCTTTGACTAGATGGACATTTGTTGGCAAAGTAATGTCCCTGCTTTTTAATATGCTGTCTGGGTTTGTCATGGCTTTTCTTCCACGGATCAAGCGTCTTTTAATTTCGTGACTGCAGTCACCATCTGCAGTGATTTTGGAGCCCCCTAAATAAAGTCTCTCACTGTTTCTATTGTTTCCCTGTTTATTTGCCATGAAGTGATGGGACTGGATGCCATGATCTTTGTCTTTTGAATGTTGAGTTTTAAGCCAGCTTTTTCACTCTCCTCTTTCACCTTCATCAAGAGGTTCTTTAATTCCTCTTCACTTTCTGCCATAAGGGGGATGTCATCTGCATATCTGAGGTTATTGATATTTCTCCCAGAAATCTTGATCCCAGCTTGTGCTTCATCTAGCCCATAATTTTGCATGATGTACACTGCATAGACATTAAATAAGCAGGGTGACAAAATACAGCCTTGATGTACTCCTTTCCCTATTTGGAACCTGTCCACTGTTCCATGTCTAGTTCTAACTGCTGCTTCTTGATCTGCATACAGGTTTCTCAGGAGGCAGGTAAGGTGGTCTGATATTCCCATCTCTGAGAATTTTCCACAATTAGTTGTGATCCACAGTCAAAGGCTTTAGCTTAGTCAATGAAGCAGAAGTAGATGTTTTTCTGGAATCCTCTTGCTTTTTCTGTAGCTGAAGCCAATAAAACCAGGAGGGTGAGGAGGAAGATGCCAGAGGAAGATGTTCTTCTGAATGGTTCCAGCATCCATCCAGCAATTTCCAGGAAGATGAAAGAGGCCCCCAAATGTCACTCTTCATATCTTTGACCATAACTGGGTGTCAGCATCTGACAGGCTGACATTGTCCCTGAAACCTGCGGGAGCAGGGATGCTGAGTGTGGCTGCTCATGTGCCCAGGACCCAGGCTCCTCCCAGAACTAATTGATAAGGGGCCCCAGGAAAGTCCCTGGTCCAGCCCTCAGTCAGCAGAGGACACAGGATGGCAGCGGAGAGGACCCATAGAGACTGCCAGAACCAGGTCACTGGGACTTTGGCGACTGGTCATGCCTGAGCAGGGGCGGAGGGTCAGATGGGATCAGGACAAGGGAGGCTGGAGGGGAGGCCAGGTGAGACGCAGGCTTGGACTTGGGAGGCTGTGGGAGGGGGCAGTTCCTGAGGAGGAAGGTGGGGGTTGGGGTCCCCCCACACTTGCCTCTCGGTGAGAACCCTCCTTGTCTGGAGGCTTGGCTCTCACTGTCGTGGGGCTCTGGACAAAACTGTGATGAACTGCAGAGTCAGCGGGTCCATGTGTCTGGCGTCACCAGGAGGGACTCTGACAAAGGCTGTTCTGGCCTTGCTGTGTGCTCAGGGTGGGGGTGGGGTGGCACTGCCCCTGCCCTGAATTGGGTTTGACTAAAGGCCCCAGCAGCTTGGACAGTGGGCGGGTTTCTCCCCATCACTGTGCTCTGCCAACCTCTGCAGTAGCTTCTATGTGGCCACCCCTCCGGCTGGATAGGCTCTCCCTCTGAGTGCGGGTGCCAGCTCCTCCCACCGTGCCCCAAGGACCATGGGGACAATCACAGGATACAGAATACTTATGCATGGTTTCCAGAATGCAGTGAACATTCAGGAAGGACATGTTATTGTTCATTCCTGGAAGGCCAGGTCCCATGTTCCTCCTCTGGTAGCTTTGTTGTTGGGAAACACTCTGATTTCTGGTGAAAGGAGCCACCAAGATTTCAGCCTTCACATGGCCCCCTCTCTGTCTGTGTCCCTCTGTCTCCTTTCCTGCAGGCCCAGGGGCCCACGCTGCTTCTGTCTCCGGGGTCGCCCATTGTTTCTTCTTATGGGAATAGAACACCATCTCCCCAGCTCCCATTCCTGGTGTTCCTGAAACACATCCTGTGAATTGAATTCACTGTCAGGAAACAAGCAAAGAAGGGAGAAGAAAGGAGAAATACAGGGTTCAGAATCTCCCAAAATGTTTTCACCTTTGTCCTGGTTCCTGAACCCCTCTCTGAGGTCATTCTGCTTGCAGGTGAGGCTCTCCTGAGTGAAGAGGGGCTAGGACAGGGGGCTAGGATGGAGTTGCAGCCCTGAAGATGGGAGGCTGGGATGGGGGAATATCCTGAGTGATGAGGGACTATGATGGGGGAATATCCTGAGTGATGAGAAATAATGTGACCATCATTTTTTCAAAAAATTTTTTTTGTCTGCCCCTCTGCATCCTTTTGTTTTACTGTTTGTTGTTTTAGTCTCTCAGTATTTCTGACTCTTTGTGACCCCCCCATGGACCGTGACCCACCAAGCTCCTCTGTCCATGGGATTTCCCAGGCAAGAATACTGCAGTGGGTTGCCATTTCCTCCTCCAGGGGATCTTCCTAACCCAGTGTGGAGGACTCCAATTCCGCAATGATCAGGCCACTTGAAGTTGTTCCCCAGCTCAATGATGTTTTGTTCTTTTCTTTAAAAGAGTTAATTAACTAATTAATCTGGCCCTCCTGGGCCTTCGTTGCTGAGGGGCCTTTTCTCTAGTTTTGGGGAGCAGGGGCTACTTTCCGGTTGCATGGCATGGGCTTCTTGTAGGGGCTTCTCTTGTGGAACGCAGGCTCTAGAGCATTTGGGCCTCAGCAGCTGCAGCACAGAAGCCCAGT